AATTCAACAAAGTCTCATAATTTTACGGGACGTATCTTCTTCCGTACTGGTCTCCATCTCGTTGGCTTCTGCTTCAAGTGGAGATTGGGGCAGAGGTTCAGCAATGTCAACGGCTACTTTTTCCATTGGTGCACCAACTGGATATAACTTCATTGGTGCACGTCCCTTATGCTTGGGTCCCCTTTTAGTACAACATGTACTGCATGTTCTGCATCATTCTTCCACATCTTGTCTCATACCTATCCAGTAAAATCTGTGTCGTAGGTGACTCAATGTTTTCTTAACTCCGAGATGTCCTCCTGTTACAGTATCATGGGATTGACACAACACAACTTCCTATAACTTTCTCGGTATAACCGTTTGCCAGGTCGTCACTTTCCCATTCGAGAGCTCTGGCCATTGCATCCTGCATGGTAGAGGGGTGTGCTTGCTTCACTTGTATCTTAAGTTGTGGACTGTCCAAGGCATTTACGAACTTGAGGAGATCGGATGGTGCAGTTGGGTAGGCCTTGTGTGCCATACTTTCCAAGTCCTGAGCCAGTTCTTGCAGGCTCTCCCCTTTAGCACGGACTCTCGTCCTAAACCTAGCCCTGCAGACGTCTGACTGATTATGGGTTCCGTACCTGAGTTCTAGAGCCGACATCAGTGCTCTATAGTTGTGTCTGTCGTCTGCCGACAACTGTCCAAGTATTTCCAGTGGTTGTCCCTTCAAGCTCGTTGCCAAATATACTACTTTCTGCTCCTCCCCATTCATTTCTGCCAGTAGCTCAAATTGTGCTCTATATGCTTACCACAGTGCCTTCCCATCGAATTCCTGTGGCTTCCTTCGCACTGGATCACTCCTATTACTGACATTCATATCTGGGATGTGACTTCTAACAGGACTGAAGATGTCTGCATTAGGGTTTAGCTGCAGTGTCTAGAAGGGGCTTGTTATTGTCTGGGGCTGGTTAAGTCGATGGTTATGGATCCTCCTTGTGTAAAAGACAATAAATCGTTCTTTAACGTATCTAATTCGCTTTTAAATTTACTAATGTTTTCCATTTGTACTTCTTGTTTCCTTTCTTGTTCCAGTTGCCACTGTTGTAATCTTTCTTGTTGTTTCTTTTCTCGTTCTTCTTGATTCTTTTCTTTTTCTTCTAACAACTGCTGTAATCTCTCTTCTTGTTTATTTTGTTGTTCAAGCTGCCACTGTTGCAGGTTTTCTTGCAACTGCTATTGTCTCTCTTCTTGTTTCTTTTTCCTCCAACCACTGCTGTAATATCTCTTCTTGTTTCTTTTCTCGTTCTTCTTGTTTCTTTTGCTGCTCTTTTATTGCTGCCATTAAGTCTGCTAAACTGTAGTTTGATTTTCCGACTCTCCGACTTTTTTGTCCCACTCTCTGACACCAGTTTGTTAGGCCTCCGTTCGATAGTTAATTTTCCGTAAATTCGTTCCGATGAAACTTTAGCGACACAAGTTCTTTCTTAAATAAAACTGGTTTATTCTTCCTGAATATAACTTTGCCATACACTTAATTTCAACAGTCGCGCTATAACAAACGCTATAATACTCAACGAACGTCTCACGTGCTCGACTCAACAATACTCAGTTCATTTACACACATTGTTGCCGTCACTTTGTGACCGTCTTATATATACAAGACTACACTATATCTAGAAGGATCCCGAAATTTAAGGAAGGGACGTGAATGTTCGAGAAGGACGTGGCGTGATACTAGTCACGTGACCTCTGCTGATGCAACACTGCCCCTCCTTAGTAATGTGCCCTCCAGTGGCACAGAGGTATGTCTGCAGACTTATACTGCTAGAAACCGGGTTTCGATACCCGTGGTGGGCAGAGCACAGATAGCCCCTTGTTTAGCTTTGTGCTTAATAATAAACAAACAGACCTTAGTATTGTTCGTCCCGAACAATAGCCACTTACATTAAACCAATAACAATTAACAATAACTTAATTAAATGTACAGAATTACAAACACAAAATTACAATTCAACAAAGTCTCTTAATTTTACTGGACATGTCTTCTTCCGTAATGGTCTCTGTCTCGTTGGCTTCTGCTTCATATGAGGTTCATCTGCTTCATCAGGAAATGTCTTATCGTTGATAACAGTCACATCAGTGGTAGTAACTACATCAAGAGCTTCACCGTTTCCCTTCTCAAAACTGAGTAGAGTTTCTTCTTCGAGGGTGGCCTTTTCAGGTGGCACGTATTCAGCAGCATCATTTGTTCCTTTGTTCACTTCATTCCAACTGAAATGTCCTGGACCGTGATAACGCCAAAGCCTGTTCGCATGCACCACTTTTGGCTTACCTCGCCGACCACATTTTATCCGGAGAGTCACGTCTGAGAGACGATCCACTATGTCATATGGGCCTTCCCATGGAGAAGACAATTTAGGAGACTTCCCTTTGGTCTTCCTGGGATTATACAACCACACCATGTCTCCTGGTTCAAGGCTGACTTCAATAGATCTCTTATCATAAGATAGCTTCATCGAATCAGCAGACGTTTTCAAGTTTGAACGCACTTGATGGTGAATATCATCCATCCTTTCCAATAACCATTTCACAAACTATGACACATTCTCAGGCAACTCTTCATAAGGTGGGAATCCTGTTAACAGATCCACTGGCAACCGAATTTCCGGACCAGACATCAACTTTGCTGGAGTGTATCCAGTGATTTCATGCTCTACTGTTCTATAGGCCATCAACAGTGGAGGGAGTAAGACATCCCAGTCATCTTGGCGGCTATTATAAAACTTTGCC